TTAGTTGATGTGTATTTTAGATTCTTTATTATTTTTGTTTTCTCACAAACTTGAATTGTACTTACTTAAAAGTTTTTATTTTTATTTTCTATTATTGTCACGTATCTTGTTGCTCTCAAATGTAATTTGAACCCTAATCTCTCTTTTATATATGTTTGTTATCATTTTGATTTTAATTTTCTTGTTTTGGTTTAAACAAAGCTCGTACATTTTGGTTTGTGTTTAATGAGTATATTGAATATGTTTGTGAGATATAAAATGTTTCTTTTCTTTCTAGAATCCAATTTTTATTTTTGTATTTATATCTTACCTATTTTACTTGATGCTAACATAAGTTTTGCTTGGTGATTTTTGTAATCTGAAAGCATTTTTTGTTATTAGTATTATTTTGTGGGCTTAGTGTTGCAAAGAAAAATGAATATGATGGTACACGGTGACATACAACCATATTTAGGAATGAAGAATTGAGAGACATAAGTGAAATTGAAATAGGGCCATATTTTATTGAAGTGTGTATTGAAAAATTAAGACTATGGCGAGCAAGTTGGGAAGTTTAAGGTTTTTGTTGAAGGAAAACTTAAGATTAACTGTGACTGCATTCTTGACTATCAAGAAGTGTCACACCCTCAGAATTAACCCATTATAGATATATCATTGACATGCATTATTTAAAGAAAACACTTTAATAATTCATTATAATATCCATCAGAGTCTTACTAAACAAGCATTACATGTAACATCAAGTAAATGCCCTACCGGCTTACATCTTTCCAAGCCAACACTTGGACACAAAAGTATGAGTTCTAACTCAAATATAAATAAAGCCCTAGGCTTGAGTGTTTACATGTACTAACAATGAAAAACAAATAACTATATTAAATTTCATGTGTATGTAAGACATGAAAAATGGCATTTATTAGTGTCAAAATGAGGAAATTGAACCTTAGGGTTGATTTTTGATAAAAGGGGGAAATGCCCAAATTATTGTGATAAATTAATTGGTATAATTAATTTAGGAAAAACATGGAATTGAGTAGAAATCTATGATATTGGGAAATTATGGGATTGAATGGATAGCCCAAAACAGTTATTTCTAGACTATAAATAAATATATCAACAATTCAATGGGCGAATGATTCAAATTATCCAATTATGCCATTTAATCAATGAATTCCCCAATTCCATGAATTTAACCATCTTTTCCCAATTCCATGAATTAATTATACAAATTAATTTAATAATACAACTAGGGTTTTTCCCAAAATTTACCAAAGTATCCCCAACATATCAAAATACCAACACTTAGAACAAAACTTATAAAATGGAGTAGGAAATCCCTACCTCGAAGAAAACAACCCAAATGGTGAAGGCAGAGATGAGTGCCCAAATACCAATGTGCTCCAAATCGCCAAATGTTCAGATTAAATGAAAGCCCTCGACTCCCTCTATCTTTTAAATAAAGCAACTAGGGTAGAAACACCCTCTAAATAGATCAAACCTAAGAAAGAAGGTGAGTAGGGAGAGAGAGAAGTCGGACCTAGGGTTTGGAATCAAAAGAAGATGAAAAAGACTGATCAAAACCCGTTGCTGCATATATAAACTGGACACGCTCGCTCGAGCGAAGACTTGGTCGCTCGAGCGACCAGACACAGAGAATCTACGCTCGAGCCAAGGAAGCCTTGCTCGAGCCAACAACCCAAAAGCTCGCTCGAGCGAAAGAAAACTCGATCGAGCGAAGAACTCAAACCCTCAGGTCTGTAACCAGACACACGCTCGAGCGAAGGAACTATCGCTCGAGCGAAGAACGAACTAACTCGCTCGAGCGCAGAAAAGTTCGCTCGAGCCAAGAATGCAAAGCTACAGGTCGAGCGAAGAACCAAAAAAAACAACAGCTCGCTCGAGCGACAAACTCCTCGCTCGAGCGAAGATCCAAAATTCTGGACAGCAACACTTGGTTTCTAAACCCAACCAACCTGAAACAAACCTGCCCAACACATCCTATAAGTCCAAATGAGAAAATAAGGGACAACAACATAAAAACAAAAAAACACGGAAAATAAGAGTGTAGAATTTTCTGAAAACTGATTTTAAAAAATGGGAACCAAGCAAAGTGATAGTATTATTTTGTGGGCTTAGTGTTGCAAAGAAAAATGAATATGATGGTACATGGTGACGTACAAGCATATTTAGGAATGGAGAATTGAGAGACACAAGTGAAATTGAAATAGGGCCATATTTTATTGAAGTGTGTATTGAAAAATTAAGACTATGGCGAGCAAGTTGGGAAGTTTAAGGTTTTTGTTGAAGGAAAACTTAAGATTAACTGTGACTGCATTCTTGACTATCAACAAGGCAAGCGGAATTAAAAATAAAAATATTTTTCATTTAAATTTATCTCTGCCATCTAACTTTAAGATGAGCGTTTTTAAACTCTAACAAACTAGTTGAAGCATTTTTTTAGTTTCTTTTTTAACAATTTGTAGAATAAATTGTTATACCCAAATTATCTAATTATGTAAGGCTAAATATTGATCATGTACAATATACGTGCACCTTTATTCATTACATATGTAGTGTTCAATTTAGACTTTAAAATTAAATTTTAAAATTTTAATATTGCTGTCTAATTGAATTCCTTCTGTTTGAATTTCACGCCCCCATCAAAAAATAATAATAATAATTGAGTTCCTTTTGTATTTGGTTGCTGAGATAAACATAAAGGCAATTTGAATGCTTTTCAAGTCTCCAAATATTCATTTCTAGAAACATTTTCCTTTTCTTTCTTGTTGTGAAATAATACTATTTTCCAACTTTTGTTAATTAAAAAGCAATATTAATTTTTTTTGATCAGCAAAAAGAACCTTCATTGATGCAAAAACCATACAAAAGTAGAGATTACATCAAAAAAGGAGGGGAAGATCAGCAAGCTAGCTCACCCCAGGAGTTTGGCAAGGAACCAAACCCAAGAAGAAAAGAAACAAAGAAGAGAACAGCAAAGAAATCCAACAGTCCAATAACAGACCAACCTCATACCAGCAAGAGAACTGAACCTGGCTCATACACCTTCATTAAAAAGCAATATTAATGAGAAGTCTTATTTTCCATTGTTTGAAATTAGTATTAATTGGTATATCCGTTGAATACGACAATTATCTTTTTGAAATTTGAATTTCTAACGGACAAAATTTTTCTCTATTTATTCTAAGATTTTCTTCTAACATTTTTATACTAAACAATTTGTCATTATATTTTCCATTCAGATTTATCTCCACCATCTAACCTTAAGGTGAGTATAGTATTACGTATGTCTGAGTTGATATGTATTTCTTATTCTTTCTTTTTTTTTTCATAATATCAAATACAATTAATTTGTTCTACTCAAATTATCTAATTATTTTAAGACAAATCACTTTGTAAATATTGATCACATACAACGCACGCGCAAATTTGCTCATTGCATATGTAGTATTCAACTTAGATTTTGAAGTTAAATTTCAAAATTAATATTGTTGCCGAATAATTAAGTTCCTTCTATATTTGGTTGATGAGAAGACAATAAAACATATTTGAAAGTTTTTTAAAGCCTCTAAACATTGATTTTCAAAACTTGAACATTTTCCTTCTCTTTCTTGTTGTGTAATAATTGTGTTTTTCGACTTCTGTTAATTTGAAGGAAACAATAATGCGAAGTTTTCGTTTCTAGTTTTTGAAATTAGAATTAATTGATGTAGCCGTTGAATATAACCGTTGTTATTTTGAAATTTTGAATTTCAAACGTACAATTTTGCTATATATATTCTGAGACTTTCATTCTAAAATTTTTATACAAAATAATTTATCACTACATTTTTCCTTCAATTTATCTCCACCATCTAACCTTGAGGTGATTTTAGTGTTACAAATGCCTCAGTTGATGTGTATTTATTACTTTTTTCATAATATTAAATATAATTATTTGCCACTTTACTTTGTGTTGATATTACAACAAATTAGAGTCTTTGTTTATTTACTTAAATATTTTGTTTTTATTTTCTATTATCGTCACGTATCTTGTTCCTTTGAAATGTGTAATGAACCCTACATCTTTTTATATTTGTTTTGTATCTTTTTCGATTTTGTTTTCCTATTTTTGGTTTAAACAAAGTTCGTGCATTTTGATTTTTCTTTAATGAGAATATTTGAGTATGTTTGTAAGACATAAAAGATTTCTTTTTAGGATCCAAATTTTATTTTTGTATTTATATCTTACCTAATTCACTTGACGTTAATGTGAGTTTTACTTATTTTTTCTGTTGTCTCAAACTATTTGTCGTTATTAATATTACTTTCACTACAAGAATTAACACTTTTGGCAACAAAAAAATTGGTCGCTAAAAGTCTATTTTTGGTCGGCAAAAGTTATCCGCGACCAATTTTTTTGGTCGCTACTTTGGTCGCCAATTGAGGGTCGGCAAAAGTAATTCGCGACCAAAATTTTGGTTGGTCGGGAAAAGTCGGATTTGCCGACTAAATTTTTAGTCGCGAAATATATCATTACCGCGACTAATTCGTTTAGTCGCTAAAACACTTTGGTCGCAAAAAGTGATATTTTCACGACCAAAAAGTTTGATCGCCAATTATCACATTCAACGACCAAAAAGTTTGGTCGCCAATCGTGACATTCCGCGACCAAAAAATTTGGTTGCCAATTGTGACATTCCACGACCAAAAAAGGTTTTGGTCGCCATTTGTTACTTTTCGCGACCAAAACTTTTGGTCGGCAAAACTGAGTTTCCACGACCAAGAGCTGTTTTGGTCGGCAATAAATGTATTTTTTGCGACCAAAACTCTTGGTCGGCAATTGTCATTTTTTGCGAAAAAAAATTATTTATTTGTCGCGACTAATAAATTGGTCGCCAAAGCAGGAAAACAATACACCTGTAATTCCTAATAATTCATTCAATCCATAATAAACCTAAGATGTTATGCAAACTAATAATTCATTTAAAACACAAACTAGAAGTACTCAAGTGCTAAATATTGATACAATATAAAATAAACTTTCTATGTATACATATGAGAAGGTCCCATAGAAACATTGCAAATTCCAAATTCAAGATGTTATGCAAACGCCATGACTAAAATACAAATAGCCCAAAAAACTATTAGGCTGTGAATAAGCTAGATATGTTCCTAAGCAACTGCAACTTCCTCCTGATAAGAGTCCGTTTGTGCTTTACTACAAGATTCCAGAGTATCCCCTGCTGATTCGATGACAACCTGACCATTGACATAGTACTGGACATTGTGGATGCCAATAGGGTTCACACCTGGCCGGAAAGCATTTCCTTCAATATACCTGTGACAACATTTAATCAATTAGCATTTGACCTAGTGTTGGGTAACTGTAATTTGCTTGTAGTGATTGAAGACAGAAACTCACATTTCTTTCAAGAAAGTGTGCTTATAGAATGCATCCGGGATTCTCCCAGTAAATTGATTATGATCCAGGTACCTGCAATGAAAGCAAGCTTAAGATGCTGTCCCATGCCTACACAAAAAAAGATGCTGTCCCAGATACACAAATGCTACATGATGCAAAAAAAGGGGAAAAGCAAATTAAAGAAGGGAAAAAAAAAGGGCAATATGCATGCGTTTATTCCAATCCAAAGACGGCTTTTCCCCACTGGTGTCTGTTAATGAGAATTCAGAGACAAGGAAGTTGTATTTGTATTCAATTAGAGAAACCATGTGAATGGAATATAACTAGTTCCCATGCAATTTTAAGCCCAATAAGGATGGAAACTTGTCTAACAATCAATCATAGTAATATTGAAATTCATCATTTACTAGCATAGTGATTATATAATGATGCATAGTGATTATTCTTTTTATTACTTTTGTGTCTAGCAAGGAATTAGTTTAATTAGTTGTTTTCTTGTTGGATTAGGGCTTCTCATATTATAAATAATGTATGCCCTGCATTGTAACCCTGCATTGTACTCAATTAATAAAATAACACTAATCCATATTAAATAACACTCTTTCATCAACCATATTAAATAAGTGTAGAAAAAGCAGTTGAAGTAGCCCTGCATTGTACTCAATTAATAAAGTTAATAAAAAATTAACAATTTTAAACAATTAACAATTAACAATTAACAATTTTTAAGCATAACTTTACTTTAATTTAAGGGGCTTACTGTAATTTACCCTAGAAAAAATCGTATTAAGGCAGTCCATCGCAAGTCACTCTTCCTACAAGTTTATTAAAAACATCAGATGTAAAGAGATGGATGGATATTCCCAAATAAAGCGAACAATCTTTAAATGAATATGGTGACAATAGACATTCTAATCATTGTTAAGCACTTTATCACTTTACGTAATGAATAATAGATCTAAGGAAGCAGAAGGAGAAACAGTAGTACTTGGGACTGGCAAGTTAACAAAAATTGGTGTAATGTTTTCTCGTCGATGAATTTGTGGCCCCCTAAGATCCTCAGAACTCCTCCAACCCTATAGATGAACATTGCTGTGTTAAGCCACAAGAACTGCAACTAAGACCATGGGGCTTTACGAAGGTATTTTGGAATTTACCAAAAGGCATAACAGGTGCCACTAGGCTTGTTGGGTCGACCTTGAAATCCACCATTAGCTGCCAGCCTCTGCATGAAGAAAAGGATGAGAGTGAAATTACTCTCAGAGCTGAGAATTCATCAAGGATATACTACAAAAACGTCAAACATGCAAATTGTTTGATAAAATAACAGGTGTTTTTTTTTGTTGTTGGTGTTTCATAAGCTAACATAAAAGCATCAATTGATAAATGAATAAAATAACACCTAATAAATTTTTGTGTGACAGATAATGAGAGCAGTGAAGTGTTGTAAAATTGTGTGAAGTAAGATGATTATAATGAGGTGAAGACTTTCTGTTTGAAAACCAATGAGCTGAAAGGGCTCAAAATGGGAAGAAAAGATAAACACAACAACATTAGATCACTCCATATCTAGCATACCCATATCTAGCATACCCACAGATAACAACAAACCTCCATGAATCTCCTCTGGTCTTCACAGTAGTACTGACTGGCAGTCAACAGATCATTTAGTGTTCCACAGGATAGCAGCACAGCCCAGAGGACTTAAAAGCCCAATTCTACTCCTGAACTGCACATCAGAACAGAAACCACAACTTCACAGCAGCAACTCAGATCATCACCAATTTCACAAAGTTAAGGTAGCTTAACTATCTAACAAATTGACTTCTAAGTTAAACCAATTCAAACCCTGACCATAATGAAGTTCCACCCAGCAAGCAAGGACACAATTACTATCAACAGATCCAGCAGCGGCATGAGTATCAGAAACCCAATTCTACTACTGAACTACACATCAGCACAAAAACCATAGCTACAGCAGCAATATCACAAGCAACAGCAACAACTTCACAGCAGCAACTCAGATCATCACCAATTCAGAAAATAAAAAATTGAAACATAAATTAAGGTAGCTTAACTATCAAACAAAATGACTACTAAGTTAACCCAATTCAATCCCTGACCATAATGAAATTCCACCCAGCAAGCAAGGACACAATCACTATCAACAGATCCAGCAGCAGCATAAATATCAAAAACCCAATTCTACTACTGAACTACACATCAGCACAGAAACCATAGCTACAGCAGCAATATCACAAGCAACAGCAACAACTTCACAGCAGCAACTCAGATCATCACCAATTCAGAAAATAAAAAATTGAAACATAAATTAAGGTAGCTTAACTATCAAACAAAATGACTACTAAGTTAACCCAATTCAATCCCTGACCATAATGAAATTCCACCCAGCAAGCAAGGACACAATCACTATCAACAGATCCAGCAGCAGCATAAATATCAAAAACCCAATTCTACTACTGAACTACACATCAGCACAGAAACCATAGCTACAGCAGCAATATCACAAGCAACAGCAACAACTTCACAGCAGCAACTCAGATCATCACCAATTCAGAAAATAAAAAATTGAAACATAAATTAAGGTAGCTTAACTATCAAACAAAATGACTACTAAGTTAACCCAATTCAATCCCTGACCATAATGAAATTCCACCCAGCAAGCAAGGACACAATCACTATCAACAGATCCAGCAGCAGCATAAATATCAAAAACCCAATTCTACTACTGAACTACACATCAGCACAGAAACCATAGCTACAGCAGCAATATCACAAGCAACAGCAACAACTTCATAGCAGCAACTCAGATCATCACCAATTCAGAAAATAAAAAATTGAAACATAAATTAAGGTAGCTTAACTATCAAACAAAATGACTACTAAGTTAACCCAATTCAATCCCTGACCATAATGAAATTCCACCCAGCAAGCAAGGACACAATCACTATCAACAGATCCAGCAGCAGCATAAATATCAAAAACCCAATTCTACTACTGAACTACACATCAGCACAGAAACCATAGCTACAGCAGCAATATCACAAGCAACAGCAACAACTTCATAGCAGCAACTCAGATCATCACCAATTCAGAAAATAAAAAATTGAAACATAAATTAAGGTAGCTTAACTATCAAACAAAATGACTACTAAGTTAACCCAATTCAATCCCTGATTTCACCACGGATAGCATACTCACATTTCAAAACCCGTCAATAGAAAACTTGGAGGTGAAAATGTGGACCAGCATGTAAATTCAGAATAGGAAACAGCCCACATAGCATAAAAGCAGCCACATTGCCCACCAGCCGCATAATATTTGAATCTGGTCACTCAATGCAAAGACAAAATTCAATAAAATCATTGCACAGCCTACAGAATCTATTATACCTACATAAATATACCACAATTAAAAGTACATGTAGAAGTTTCCAATACAACTAGACGATTATGAAAGCATCTACATTCTCATTAAAACTAAAAACAGTCAAACTAGTTGAGTTTGTGAAATTTACACGCACCTAAGTTCCAAATTCCATCACATTTTAAAACACATTTGTCATAAGTGAATCAAAACCTTGCCATGCATGGAGAACATAACAATCACAGCACAGCACAATGAAAAAATGACAGCACAACGGAGAACATAACCTTGTCATCCAAATTCCATCCATATGGAGAACATAACAATCACAGCACAATGAAAAAATGAACCTATACAAAGGGGCAGACAATCTGTAAAACCTCGATGTCACATCACAGTGGGTGCTCCGATGTTTAAATTTAGTGGATACAAGGAGTTGTTCATATCTACCACAAACAATCTCACTCTGATAAGAAAAGAAACTACAATAGGGTGACAACAGCAAATGGACGACAACAAGAAGAATAATCACTTAAGCATAGATAAGAAGGATCTAAGCACACAAGAAAAACAGAAAAAACAAAAGGAGGTAATTCAATTGAAAGAAATTGATAAAGACCACAACATTCTCACAGACCATCTAAATGGAAACCAGCCTTTCTTCTTAAGCATCCGCTGTTCAGCTGCTTCCTTAGATTTTACAGATTCAACCTTGGCATGTGCAAAGAAACCTGAAAGGTAAATATACCATCAGTGAGAAAAGGAAAAGCCAGCAGTTCAAATATTTGTATCCTCAACACTCCATGATATCTACAAAGTTCAATATGAGGACACATAGGAATGTATAAGGTTTATTGAAACGGTAGCAATTAATAGAAACACAACCTTGATTGAGCTTTGTGCCCCCAAGGACAAATATTTTAATAAACTTCATTATCCAGGGACAAAGATATGAAAACTAGAATTATGTCTTCAATGCACATTATATCAGAGACCAGATAAACTCCTGACTAATTTCTAAAAACTAATGCACAGATAGAAATAATAGTGGAGAAACATCACTAAGATGTGAAGATCTAGCAAAAGGAAAAACTGAACGTCCTGATGAAAGCAAAAAAAAGTTATCCTCAGTAATGATTATACATACATACACACACACACACATATATATTAATAGAAAGCGAAACCTGAAAAAAGGTGAAGTTCTACCTTGGACGAAATGTAGAATGTAGACAAATGTGGTGCATCTCCCAAGGTCACTGATATATAAGCAAACATTACAAGATAGCTTATCTGATAAGTATTGGGAAAACAGAGTAAAGACAAATTGTCAGAAGCAAATTTGGGCCATAAGTGCGTAATTATTGACAAGGATTTATTTAATTAGTTTCCAGTACATGACACATAAAGAGGAACCAATCAACATGTAATACATATACACACAGAAATTTTTTCATGACTTACTAATATATTTACAACATCAGCAGTACTTTCTCTCTTCAATTCTTCCTCAATTGAGCTCTCAGATGAAAATGACAGAGTGAGATTGCTGGACTGCACCATTGGCAGCAGCTCATCCTGTCGTCATAGTTTGTTCATTATCATGCACATCTAAGTATCTGAATAATTTCATAGTGACTGATGGAGCAAAACATTATATTGAGAGAGAGAGAGAGAGAGAGAGAGAGAGAGAGAGAACTATTATATTGTACAAAACACGACAAAGAGGAGAAAAGTATAATTGCAATAAATCAACGTACTTATTACAGTGTAGAGCTAAATGGATGCAGTGTAGAGCTAAAACATGAATGCAGTTGATTCACAAAGTTTTACGGTAGCTAGCAAGTATTCAGTTATGATGTATTGGCATAGAAATCAAGAAGCTCTAATCAGACAAATATCAGTGCAATCCTTATGTCTTCAGCTGTAACCTGCATTCAAACTTTTAAACTGTAGGAATATCTAGACTTCAGTTGATTCCGTATTCACAATTCACAATCCTAATCCAGAGAATCACTTTCTTGACAACCTTAAACCTTCCCAACCTTCAGTATTTCTTAATTGTCGTCCATGAAATCTACACTGCAGAAACCTTAAAAACTATAATGCAATTATAGTCAGAGATGGTCAAATTTTCTAGAGTTTTGACATTAATTTTTTATCATTTCCCTGTAAAATATTTGACTCAAACTAAAATAAATATAATAAGGGATAGGAGGGGCGTGGGAGAGAAAGACATGTAAATAAGGAAATAGAGGAAGAGAAGCCATTCTTAATGCATAACTAAGGGAAAGTGGAGTCACACATGATAATTTTAATTTACATTAATATATCCATAAAAGTAACTGAAATTCAGCTCAATTATTCTTATCGAGAAAGATGTGAGAAAATCTTTGCTAACTGTTTACTCAATTCCCCCTTGGTGAAATTTCTTAAAATCAAATTGACCTTCGGAAACACAGTCCACATTACCAGTTTATAGAAGTGAAAAAAAAATGTTGTCAAACTTATCACAAACAAATATAAATTCTTACTTGCAATTGCATATATTATATACATATTTAAGAACAAAGATTTTTTTGCAACTTTTGAGAAACTCATTATATGTATTTCCCCTTTCTGAAAACAGACTAAAAATGCGACAACAATAAATCCATGATGTAGATTTCAATCATATCTAGACACAACAAACAAAATGACCACGTCTACAAACAAATACCATCTTCTTGGTGGTCTTTGTTATTTGTTTGCTACTTAAAAACATATGCAGTCACGAAAACTCAAAAACAAAAGATGTTTAAGTTTGACTATCTGACAATTTACATTACAAAATTGAGCAATATAAAACAAACTTTACCCAAACACACAGAAAAAAATGGAATTAACTCGCAAACAAACTTACCTTATAGTAATCCATCACCAGACTTATCCAACCTTCCATGCACTGCAAAAAGCAAATAGAAGACAATTTTAAATCCTAAAATGGATATTTTTAAATTATAAAAAATCCATTCAAAGTTTTAATTGGTCACCTCCAAATCAATAAAAGCCTTAAGTAACCTCCAAAAAAAGGCCTTAAGCAATCTGCAAATCAATTACTTCAATTAATTCTTCCTCTCTCTCTGCTTGATAGTCCTGTCTACTTGATACAACCATTGGAATGAGAAACAAACCTTCGGACCTTGATGGTCTTTATCTCATCTAGAAGCCGCTTTGCTGCTTCATTCACTTCTTGTTTTTGCTTAAAAGCTGAAGCTGACAATCTTTTCTTCTAGATCTAAATCTGAAGTTGGGTTGGGGTCGGAATTTTAGCATTTAAATTAATGACAAAGGTTTGAGACAGCCCATAATGACATTGGAGAGAGCAAAACATTACCTGTGTCTCAATTGATTTAATTTCTGTCATAAGCTTTGTTGCATTTTCTGCCTTTGTCCATCAGAAGCTAGCAGCAAGGTTTTCAATTTTAGCTAGCAAACGGTCCCTCTCTTGCTGTAGGTTATCACAGACCATCATCACCCTCTGTAGTGATGAAATAGACAACTAGCAATGAAAATTTTAAAATTTTTCCATATAACCTGGACTGTTTTTGTCTCTTCTCAAGTTTCAAGATTCTCTTCTCAAAGTGCTGACTATAAGCTCAGTGTTCAGACCCTCCAAAATGTTTCATTTCTGACTGCACATAAGTCACAAAGAAACAATTTAAGAAAACAGTGTAAATTGCAAGAATGGAATACAAAATAATATCTATTTCCAAACACTTCACCAATTGTCAAATAAAAAAATTTCCAAGGAATCAAATAAATTTCACAAAAATTGTCAGTAAAAATTACAGGGGCAGATCAAAGGAGCAGGAAAAAAATACTTTAGATTCCAGTTGAGTACTAATTTAGTAATTATGTTGCTACATTTAAGTTGGCGTGGAGTTTCTCTTTTTTGTTGTCGTTAGATTTTCATTGTTGAAGATCATTGATTAGTGTTCCTGGATTCATGTAACCCACAAACATGTCTCCCTACATTATTTTAATAAAATGAAACATTAAAAGGGATAAAAATAAAAAAAATATATACACACACACACATATATATATATATATATATATTAAAGAAGTGGAGGACCTCTATCCCAGAGAGAAATATAAAAATACCGCTAAAGATATAACACTGATCTTGATCTTCAAGCAAAACTTTGTATTGAATGGGCAATTTTATGTTGTTGCCTTAATACAATTTTATGTGGTTCAAATGAACAAAAATCAATCATTATTAAATTCAAAATAGATTGTCAGAAAAACAAACTAGGAAATTCGACATTCAT